CAATGCAAGCTGCTACTGCTAAATGTGCAAGCTGATGTTTATTCTTCAGGCTAGTAAAAGGCGTAGAACATTTTTTTAAGTAGATTCAAATCCAAGTCTCAGTTGTTTCCAGGCAAGAAGCTTACATTCTTTGGTGAGATTAGCCTGTGCCTGAACACGAGCCTCACAGAACAGGATGAATGCAGTTTAACTCATTTATTACAGAAAATATCAAGGACCAGCACTGGAAAATAAACCCTCTGCTCATTAAACAGACTACTTACATTTCTAGAAGCTTTTTTCCAGTTTTCATGGAGTTTTCCCTCTGGAAACATTCCACACCCACCTGGACACATTCCTGTGTAACCTGCTGCAGGTGACCCTGCCTTGGAGGGGGGTTGGACCAGATGATCTCCAGAGGTTCCTTCCAACCCTAAGAATTCTGTGATTCTGTAATAATCTTTATGATTTACTTTCTTACCACTGGCAACCTATGAGAGATCCTGGAGTACCAAATACACCAGAAAGTGTAAACTGGAATCCCTGATAGTGATAGCAGGGGAGGAGAAATGGGGCATAGTTCAATATCACAGTATTTTTGACCTTGTCTGTGGAGAAAATATGGGCTTGAAAATATCTAAACCAGACAAAGAAAATCAGGATAATTATATCTTTCACTGTTAGAAATATGCTGGTTTTGCTAGGTTAGCCCATAGCAGCCATTGCAGATGCCACATTTCAGCCAAAGGCAGAACAGAATGACATGGATTTTCTCCATATCACAGAAGGACAAGGAAGCCACAAGACAACACATGGCTCAAACCCCAAATGAGCACATCCCCATCCAACAAGGCTGGTCTGTCTCCGCTGGCCAAAGCTTCCCAGGAAGATGGACATTCTGCCTCCCCCTTCTCATAAGGAGGAACAGCTTTGCCTCTATCATTACTGTACCTGTTACACAACCTGCTGTAACTTACAGACAGAAATTAATTCAGAAACAAAGCCAAATTAACTGTGTACACAGACAATGTGAAGTTTTGTTTCCAATTAGAAAACCCAGTATCAGCTGCCTCAACTACACTATTTTCTTCTGTAACTCTTTGATTCAGATGTTCTGTATTGCTCCACCTCCTTAAACACTCAAATACTTCAGAATTAGTTGAATTGTGGCATGAGTCATCTAATTTCCTTTTCCAGTAAGGGTCACTGTTGGAAAATTGGCATACCAAGGCTAAGTAATCACATTACCAATGAAAATAATAACAAGTTCTGTCCTGGTTAATCAGTGCTCTGCTTTTTGCAGTTTCTCAAAATAAGAATACTATGTACAGCAGAATGAAAAGGGGAAACCAACTAAATTAACCTTACTGCTCACAATCCATCTTTTAAACCAAAGTAAAGCAGGGGAAAACTCAGTAATCCAGTTAAAATGGGGGAAAAAAAATCCCAAAACTACCTTCCAGTAGTAAACCTTTGCCACAACACATTCACTGGCAGCAGAAATTGGAGAAATTGCTTATGGTCAAGATAAAATGGTGACAAATTTATCAAGTTTATCAGTATGAAAACCCATCCCTGCACCCTGACCTAAAAGCTCCACATGATTTTTAAGGACTGATCAACAAAGTAAAAGGCCTGAATGTGACTTAACCCTGACTTTTACAATTTTCTTAGAACACTTCATTTGCTTCCAAATGCAGCATTCTGGAAAACAAAATGCTTTCAAGTACTTAGAAGTGCAATATTAGGATCCCCAATGGAGTGTAATTTATTGTCTTTAAAATGTCCAAAGGTTATAGTGTATGGACCGCTTTCAGTGTGAAATACACTCCAAAGGATTGCCCAAAGTGCACACCTGCCTCAACAGCACCTGATACTCAATATAAATACTAAAAGAAATCAATATTAAAGGATGATATTAAAAAGAAACCTACTGAAAACTAGTGCTTTGCTTGCACTTCTGAAGAAGACCTCAGAATAAACACAGTGAAAAAGCAAAAGTACAAGCAAACTAGAAATTGCTTAGCCAGGCAAGACAATTAAGAACAAACATTCCACCAGTAGCCCTTCCCTAACCCTGTTCTAGAATTAGGGTGTAATTGTGGCAGGATTTCCAAGCAGGGAGAAGAAACACCCAGACCACAGAGGCCAGTGGCAAGTCCACAGGTAGTCTGTAACTAGCCCTCAGAAAGGGGAAGCTCTCTCAGAAAGACAGGATTTGTAAGCAGCATGCCAGGGTGGTAACTCAATCTAGAAATCAGCCTGATGCACCCATAATGACCTACAATGCCCGGAAACCATCACCTCTTTTTCAAGGGCAGTGTCAAAGGTAATACTTCCAACTGTTAAGAAAGAACAGGGCACTAAAGGAAGTTGCCCTCTGTTGCCTCCTGTCATGTTACAAACTGTTCAAATGCTCATCTTGTTGGAAATACAAAGAAATATTCCAGCTGACATCAGCCCTTCTCTCTACACAGTGAAGAATTCAACTAACATAGTCATCAAGAAACAAGACAAGACCTGCCTTTTACAAGAAATGGGCACAGAGAGAGAAGGTGGAGTATACCTTGCAGACAAGGAAGCAGGACAACTCTTCCAGAAGGAATACAAGCTTACTACTTGATTTAAAAGCACAGCTACCTCAGCATACACAACACAAGACTCCGGGCACTGTCTGTAACTAAACAAATACCTATTTGGTGTCCCACTGGCAGCAGTCACAGATGGTGCCACTCACTGCAATTCCCAGTATTGGAACACCCTAAATGGGACAGCTCAGTTATAAGTCATTTTGGAAAGTTCTGAGATGTGGTTTTCCTCCAGAGTCATATCCGGGTGGCTTTTCAAGGACAGTATTCTTGTGAGTAATTACCACCTTTCTAATAAAATTGCCTAACAAGAAGGTAAGTTTGATGTCAAGTCTAGGCCTTTGCACAACACTTAATTTTTCAAAGCTGCAATGCAATTGAAAGGGAAAAGAGAAGTCACCCATCTTCTCATGCTGAGACATCCACGGTTCTCTTTTTAGACATTCCATAACATTCCAAAACAAAGGTAATTAAAACAATTTAACTGCTCCTTCCTAAATGTTTTTTCGCTGTCATTTACAAAGAGCATGCCCTGACTTCAAGATAAGGCTCATGCCTGCTGTACTGGAACTACCCATCTGAAGACAGAAGATCAGTCTCACTGAAAAGCAGCATCCCTCCTCCAAAATATTTGTTACATCAAACCCTTCTCCTTGTGGAAGGGACCTCGCCAAAAGACACCAAGGCTCCATCCAAGACATCCACATACCCCCTTCACACCACCACGGCAGTGCCAATTGCCTTTAGCGCGCTCCTTCCCGCCCCGCAAGAAAAGATGTGCCTGAGCTAACACAGCGCGGGGGCTCCGCCCGGCTGTGCTGGGGACGGCGCACGGCCCCGACCCCCGCCCGCCGCTCCCGGGAGCGATGCCGCTCGCAGCCGCTACTGAGACCGCTCCGCCGGAGGTACCGGGAAGGCCGGGCGGGTTCACCCTACAGCTGCCCCGGTCCCCCCGGGGCTGTCGGGGTCTCTTCCCGAGCCCGCCGAGCCCCGCCGCTTACCCCATGCTCGCCACCGCCGCTCGCCCCGCGCCCGCCGCCCGGCCCCGCGCACGTCACGGCGAGCACACCGCCCCTTAAAGGGGAGCCCCAGCGCCCGAAGCCAGGCAGAGACATCCAGCAGCTCAGCGGCACTGCGCAGCTCAGGCGTCCCCTGCCTAACAAGGACACGGAAGTGCTGGAGCGAGTCCAGGGGAAACCACGATATTGATAAGAGGGCTGGAGCACCTCCCCTAAGGAGACAGGCTGGGAGAGTTGGGGCTGTTCAGCCTGGGGAAGAGAAGGTGGTGTGGAAACCTCACAGCACTTTCAGCTGCCTGAAGGGGCTACAGGGAACCGGAAGAGGGGCTGTTTGTCAGGAACTGGAGTGGCAGGACAGGGAGTAATGGGTACAAATTGAAAGAGGGGAAATTTAGGTTGGATGTTAGGAAGAAAGTTTTTACTGTGAGGGTGGTGATGCACTAGAACAGGTTGCCAAGGGAAGCTGTGGATGCCCCAATCCTGGTAGTGTTCAAGGCCAGGCTGGATGGGGCCTTCAGTAAGTGGGACATGTCCCTGGCCATGGCAGGGGGAGGCTGGGAATAGATCATCCTTAACGTTCATTCCAACCCTTTAATATTCTGTGATTAGTCCCTGCCCTCTCTTCAGCATCTTCTGCACTGTGAAAAACGGACACATTTTTACAGCAGGACTTGTGTCATCACCAATATAAGCTCGAAGGAATTTACTTCTTCCCAATATTAAAACAGATGGAGAAATATTGATAAAAACTAACTGCAAAAGATGCTAGAGCACCAAGGAGATACTTCAAACAAAAGCACTTTTTTTCCAGAGCCACTATGGATTTTCTGAGAGTACAAAGCACAGAGTAACAGCCATAAACTAAAACAGAGGATGTTCCACCTCATCATGAAGAACTTCTTTATGTTAAGAATGACAGAGTACTGGAAGAAGCTGCCCAGGGAGTGTGTGGAGTCTCCCCTCTGGAGACATTCAAGTCACACCTGGACACATTCCTGTGTCATCTGCTCCAGGTGACCCTGCCTTGGCAGGAGGGTTGGACTGGATCTCCAGAGGTCACTTCCAACCCCAACTGTTCTGTAATCTGTGCTAATGCTTGAACCTCCTGTTCAGCAGGAAGGATACAGATTATTATATACAGAGACTGTTATGGTCTAAATAGCAACATCCAGCCTCTTTCCTCATGTATCTCCTTCCGATATGTACACAGATTTCGAGTCCTCCACACTCTTAACACATGAGTATTTCTATTTTCATATTCTAGCAGCACAGAATCATGAAACTGTTCAGGCTGGAAAAGACCTTTAAGATCACCAAGTCCAACTGTTAACTGAGCACTGCCAAGCCCCCATGTCCCGATTACACAATGAAGAACCTGTACACAAATCCCATTGTAAAACCTTGCATGGCTTACCTGGGGTCAGAAGCATCTAAGAAATCATCAGGATCCTCAAAAATCTGTGAGTCAGAGACCCTGTAACAAGAGAATTCATTTCAAAACATGGAATTTATGACTTATTCAAGTTACCTAGCTAAGTTTCAAGTGCTTATGAAAGGTAATGTACACTAAAAAGAGAGATTATTTTTGTTGTCTGTGGCGGTAAAAGTATGGATTTGACAACTGCCTGACAGCACCGTTCCAAGGCAGTTTTACAAAATTAAATAGACCATACATAGATTTGGAGCAGCTGAGGATAAATGCATTTACTGCATTAGCCCTAACTAACTAAAATTGGTCAGTGATTAACAACAAAAATCAACAAATTTAGCCTTTTACTAAGCACACCTTCACCATTAATTAAGCTTAGTTTCACCCAGGTATGCTCTGACACAGGCATCCCTGCTCTGGGGAGGAGAGAGGAGCAAGCACAGCAATTTGTCCACCAAGTGGGGTCATATTCTCATCCTCTACATGGAAAAAAACAAACACCAATTTTATAAGGGTTTCTGTTGCTCAGAAACTGAACTAAAGGCAGAACAGAAATGTGACATTTCAGTGTCACCTCCTCCTCCACCTGGCTAAAGGATATCTGACAGTCTTTGCTCCCACTCTAAAACTGCACATCATCATGGCCTCCAAGGACCTGATTTGTACTTTGAACACGGCCTCTTATGCCTGGGTAAAGGGGAGTGATGCTCGTTTTCCCTGCAGATATGTGGGTGCTTTTCTGTGCTTCCCAGAGACAGCATGGAGCTCAGGCCAGTGCTTCACCCCAGATACCCTTCAGTGGTTAAGCCCTGCCTGAGTCAGGTGGAAGATAAGCAAGTGGCTCAATTCTGGTTTGTGCTCAACCAGCCTCAACAGTTCTCCACAGCAAGGCTGGCAATTTTCTACTACAGTCAGAACTCGACAATAGGAGTGGAGTTTCAGATGTCCTCTCTGCTCCTTTGGGATGCCTTTCACTTGGTAACATTCTCCATCTGGAGCACGAACCAGTGGTACCTATCTGGTGTCCTGGAGCATTCAAGTGTGAAGTTAAGCTTTCAATAACAAGGACTTTCCACATGATGTAGTAATACTGACAATGACACTCATTTTAACAAACATCAATGCATAGAGTATCAGGCCTTGAACCCCTCCCACCAAGGTTAAAAAAAAGCAAATTAAAGCTTCATCCCAACCAGCTGTTGGACAGCAGTTCAGAGTTACCTCAGTTTCTCGCTTAACTTCTTTAAAGCTTGCAGAGAGTCTTCTATGTCAGGCATCCTCAGAAAAATTAATTAGAGTGTAAGTATTTGAAAATTATCAAGAAGATAATTCACAAATATAATAAGATAATCACATCAGTTAATGTATTAATTTATCCAGCTCATAGTTCCCATTTTACAGCTAAGTAACAAGCATTAATGTTGATCCCTGATAGAGCCTGATAGAGATATAGAGGAGAAAGGTCATTTAGGAAGATTTAACCATTAAACAGTGTGTTTTTCTCATTTGATAACAGAATTATAATGTGTTGTATAAATTCATACCTTTGATTACGCTGATTGCAATTTTGTTCGTCAAATTTTAGTAATATATTAGAGCAGCAGTATCGATTCACACAAGATCCACAGCAGAAATGAGGACAGGATTGTGCAGATCGTACGTCGCCTAAATAACTAATATATGCATGACAATCTTCACTGAAAACTGAAAAGAGTTACAAACCAATAGTTAGTAAAGAAATAATCACACAAAGTCTTTTTCTCATACCGACCAGATCACTTAACATTTAAACATGCTGAAAGCATTTGGGTCAGATCTTAGAAACCAAGTATTTCCTTTAGTGTATAGCAGAAGCAAATACTTACGCTTCACACAGAATACCTCATCTTCATTGAGCACCTCTATCCAAATGTTCAGACATAAGCACTAAACTGCATGAAAATATGAGATGCTGGTGATACTCTCTTCACTGTATCTGCTAGTAGCTACCAAATTACTGTAAAGACTCAAAAGAGCAACATGAGTTGCCAGAAAGGCTAAAATTACCTTAAAAAAGCCCTAAGATTAGTTAGAAGAAAATGTTAAATTTTCCTAGATATTTGACTTGATGGAAAAGATGCAACACCACTGCATTCACTGTAGGTTTGGATTTCCATGTGACTTGGTTGTTTCTACCTGTTGCTTTGTTTACTTCACAGAAAAATCCTAATTCTGATAATCCATTGCAGAAAACAGAGGTGTCATACACCACATTCTTAGAACTAAATCAGTCTAGTGGCATTCCCACTGCAAGCATCACCTGGTGCAGCTACAGTGGTAATGCAATGGGGATGTTCATGTACCAGGATGGCTCCCCCATGGAACATACCATACTTTTCAGAACTGCATTGGGCTGACCCATTCCTTAAGGGACTGGCTGTTTTCTCTGTCTTTGCCCTGCCAAGCCTAAGTAACTGCACCGTAAGAATAGCATATTAAAAGGTTTTAACTGCCACATAAAAATACTTCTCAAAGTTTAAGCAAAAATAATTTCCCAAGAAGGTTATCACTTCATTTTTTTAGTGACAAATGCTGCAGTCAGCTGGTTTCTATTCATCATTTGCTTCCTGTCACATATCACGTTAACAAGACATACCCTGATATCCTGCTCCTACACCACAGTCCTTCCAAAAAAACTCAAAGTCCTTCAGGTGTAGTTGTTCAGAGAAAGCAAACAGGAAGATATAAAGGTAATATTTAAACTGACTTTAACATTTGGAAATTCAGTCTTCACTCTCTAGCATCAAGAAATACCTGAATACTTCAGCTGTTGCCCGGAATAAAACACAAAACTTTTCCAAACAGCGTTAAAATGATAATATAAATGCAAGTCTTTAATTAAAAGCCTTAATGGTGCACAATATGGTGATATGCACACATGACACAGTATTTCTAAAATTTTTATAACATTTATTAGTCTATCTATCAAATATTGTCCAGTAAGAAGAGCAGTTGGTTAGGTAATTTCCCCCTGGGTTCTGCCCCACTGGAGCCCCCTCAATCTTTTTTAGCCTAAACTTTACTGTGTCTACAATGTAAGGTGCAAAACCAAGTGTCCTTGCTAGACTAAAGGCAAGAATGTAAACAGAATTTCAAGAATGTATTATAAGGGTTTGGTAAACTATGGGGGAGGACAGGAAAAGTACTAGAAGTTACAACTTTTATTAACAGTCTAAGAAGCTACAAATGCATGAAAAATATATTAAAAGCTAAAAACATTTAGGCATCACAGCCAACAATAAAAACCAGAAATCTTCTAAGAGTTTAAACATGGAGGATCATTAAACAGGAACAAAGAGGAACTTCTGTACCCATAGCACAGTACTTTTTACAGCTTTACATATGCTTACACACAGTCAAATTTTTCCTCTGCAGACACCTAATGCCACCTGGCTGCTCCCTCCTTCCTCTATCCCTAACAAGGAAATGACAGGTAGCTAAACCAATTCCAAAATAACTTGTGAAATTACACAGCAAGCCAACCAACAAAATTCCTTCCAACGTCTCACAATTGTACTACTGCAGCACAATAAAATAAAAGGAAAACCACAGGCCTAGTTAGTTTAGTTCTCAAGTGGCTGAGCTAAGTCAATAAGGGCTGAGCACACCAAAGGAGAAGAAAATTGGTGTCTCTGCTTTGTTCCTCTCTTCTTCTATCAGCTGTGGCATCCATGAGACTCTTCCTCAACTGACTGAATTCTCCAGCTCATCAGCTGATCAACTGATGGCACTTTTTTCCCCATGGTCTTCTGATGGGTTCATTATTTGAAGTACCTGAGAACAGGTATAGTCCACACCCAACACAATCCAGTTACTGAGGGGTTCCTCCTATCCTACAGGGCATCAGTGTGATGATTTCACACCATCAGTGCCACACAAAGTACCACAGTACCACTTTAACAGACTGACCAAGCTCCATCTGGAAAGCAGAGTTGCAGAACTCTTCACACCTAGTTCCCAGTCACTGCAATAAGTACTAACTTCCACCCCTATTTATTCAAGAGCAGCTAGCATACAGTTACAGCTGTAGCACCTTCATGGTGAGTCAGCCTAAAGAACCCTTTTTCTGGTGCTCATACCTTGAAGTACTTACAGATAAAACTATTTAAGCTCAGCCCCCGAACTGTGATCCTGGATTAGTCCGACCAAGTCACAACTTTCTAACACAGGTTTGTGCAGAATTTGATCTCTCTGATCGAGTAACAACACTGATATATAAAATATAAAGAGTGCTTCTCCTTCTCTGAGACCTCACAAGTCAAGTTCTGTGATCACATCTGCTCTCTCTAAGCACAGGACAAAGTTGGGAAAGACCACACACTCCATCCTCTCAGCACAATAACAAAATAGCAACAGATCGGGCTGCTGAAAAAACCCCAATTATCAATAACAGCATTTGATGTATGAACTCAATCATCAAAAGAGCTTACATAAGTAGTCCTGTTTATGTGATATTATCATTTAACACCTCAGTGTTTCTATTATCTTCCAGTAAAAGGGTATAATTTACTGCATGGGAGGTTAAAAGGTGAAGGTTTTTAATGGGACGCTTCAAGAATGGCTGGCAGCCACTTCAGTACATCATTGCCTTAGCTTAGTTACCAGCAGCTCGTATCATTAGGAGGGGTCCTGCAGCCGCTGCTGGCCGACACGACCGCTCAAAACAACCCGACCCCACTTCGGCAGAGCTCTTCCCTCATCAGAACTTTTCCCTCGGCGAACCCAGTTCCGCGCCAAAACCGCTGTGAGCGTGTGGGCACCTCCCGCCGCCGCCGGGTCCACAGCCCCAACACCACGGTTCCAGTCCCCAAATCTCGGTTCCACAGCCCAAACACCACGGTTCCAGTCCCCAAACCTCGGTTCCACAGCCCC